CTGAAGGAGAAGAGCGGCGCAGCACGGAGCAGCTCCAGGGAGCCCCGACAGGTGACACAAGACGCCCAGAGCAGTTTTCCACAGCCCGCAGAGGCTTTCTAATAACCAAGAGGCTGTGGGGCGCCCCACGGGCAGCATCCGTGCAAACAGGCCCACATCAGCAGAGCAGAGCAGGAGCATTTGGCACGTCAGCGTTTCATTACAGGAAGTGGCAAGTTTTACACTAGAGGATTGAGAAAAGACATTTATTGACAAAACTAAGTGCTTGTTCAGCAAACAAGCAGGTCTGACAATAGCACCGTCTTTCAGCTCTCCACTTGGGTTTCCATTGGGCATCACTCGGGCTGCAGGTCGAGCACCGTGGACGAGGATGTTCCTCGCTGTGCAGGACCGGGTCCCAGAGAGTGGAGCTCCCCAAGAACCGACCAATCCACGGTCGGAGGGCACGAGGCGGACGAGCACTGCAAGCCCGCTGAGAAGCAACACTACCAGCTGGGGACCAGGGACCAAGGCCGGGGCCGGCACAAGCTGCAGATCCAAGCCGACGAGTTTTATTCTGCTCCAGGACATTTACATTCAAACATCATTTTCGTTCGACTCATGGCTTAGAGCATCAAAATGAAAGGAAGACAAGGAAGCAACTGATACCGACTTCCACAGCTCCCCACCCGCTAGAAGGGCTAGAATAACCAAAAAGATTATAATGAACAGAAACATCAACTGTTGCCAGCAAGCCGTGGGCACAATGAGAGTCCACCGGGCCACTGATCCTTGCTACACTCCCTGGCAATGTTGCTCAAGTGCATCAGAGAAAGGCTCACTTGGAGTCAAGGCAGGAGAAGGCTTCGCCACAAAAATGCTACTTCACATGAGGAATGAAGTACAGTGCACCCATAAGCAGTTCTACCACACTGAAAATTCCTCCATTTTGTATCATTAGCTCTGTAAAAATGTACATATTCTACAGATTTATAGATATTTACAGGTTCTCTACAGCCTCCCCACCCCATGTGGGGTTTTACATACTTACGCCGTGGGCACAATGAGAGTCCACCGGGCCACTGATCCTTGCTACACTCCCTGGCAATGTTGCTCAAGTGCATCAGAGAAAGGCTCACTTGGAGTCAAGGCAGGAGAAGGCTTCGCCACAAAAATGCTACTTCACATGAGGAATGAAGTACAGTGCACCCATAAGCAGTTCTACCACACTGAAAATTCCTCCATTTTGTATCATTAGCTCTGTAAAAATGTACATATTCTACAGATTTATAGATATTTACAGGTTCTCTACAGCCTCCCCACCCCATGTGGGGTTTTACATACTTACAGATGCACTCATTTTTAAACTGCTTGTGTGTGGTGAGTCGCATCAGTTGCGGGGCTCCCGCCCCCCCATGTTCTGGCGGCGGGTGGCACGTCTTGGCTGCTGGCGCAGCTCTACCACTTCCGGAGGGCGGATGCGTGCAGAGCCGGCAGCAACTGAAGGCCTGCTCACCAGCACACCTGGGGGCAGGCGCAGGCTCGCACAACACCCGGCATTCAATGCTTCTGCTCCAACAGAAAAGCCACAAGTTTAGGCAGGACACCAGCAGCAGAAGATGCTATTTCCAGAAACCCACAACCACAACCCTAAAACATCTGCTCCACACACAGCTGCTGTGCCAAGCCCAGGAGGCTTCAGTCCAGACAAGAGCTGCTGGTGCTCACTGGCTTGCTGCTAAGCAGATCGGTTCCCTCCGGGATAAAACTGAAGCAGTCCACTTGAGCTTTCTGTCATCATCCTCTTGAAGGAAGCAGAAAATAAAATTCTTCCACTTTCTGTTCCCAAAGCAATCAATCCTCATTGGTACCCACAATCTGACCGGATCACACCTTCCTTCTTAGGAAAGGATTGCTCAAGGAGATGCCTAGATATTCTCCTTGGGTCGCTCAAGTCCAGCTTCATAAGTACTCACAGGAGGAAGTGATCAGCTCACCAGCCCCAAACAGAGCTGGTCCACCCAGAGTTTTGTCCCTCTGCAGCATACCCTGGCTCACCGGATCATGTAGGCCAAGCTTGCTCCCAGTCCAGCCACGCCTGCAAACGCCATCAGTACATTTCTGATGCTGCCTTCTAGGTCCTCGACTCGAAAGAAGTCAACAAAGCCCTCCTAGGAGAAAGAAGGGAAAGTCATTTCCGCGCCAGCCACCCTTCTTTGGCAGGAAGGCATGGAAAGCCTTTTTCCCTGGCAGAGCGGGCTGGGGTACAGCCCGCCCAGCACATCCACCGAGTGCGCTCCTCCAGACTCATTACAGCCACAGCCCGCGCCGCAGAAGCAGCAATCAGGAGACAGCACCAAAGCAGCTGTGGACCAGCTTCAGGCAAGCTCAGCACACCCAGGATTGACTCGGCTTTGGGAATGCCGCCCCCTCCGCGCTGGGCAGGGGCACATTTTTAGCTCATTGTAAGGAGCTCCTGAAACACCAGAACTCTGGCTAGATGTTTCAGACTGTGGTTTTAACTGGAGCAGTGAGTCATCTCTGTGCTTTGCTGACACACGTGGTTGTCAGTGAGCAGGTCACAGAAATAGGAAAATATTGGATTGTTCTGAAAAGCTCGCAGTGTTCGGGACAGGCAGTGACTCACCCAGCCTCCCTGGCTCATTAGCCACTCGCGCTTAGATGAGACAAGCGCATCCGTGATGATCCCTGCCAGCGAGCTGATGCACTTCTCCTGGTTTATGCTTTTCAGGTGTTTCGCAACAAAGGCACCAAACGAGATGAGCGTCACCACTCGACCCCAGTTTGTTACTCCATCACTGAACACATGGGCAGCCACTTCACATACCGACTGCAGATCTTCCTCCTTCTGGATCTCCAGCTTCC